TGGACTAGACTACGTTACCTGTGGGCACACCTATGGGGTGGACTACAGGTCTGTTTATCTCTCGCACACCTTCAGAATGCTTACAGCACAGCGAGAATCTGTGGGAATAAAAAGACAAAGGGAAACCCCCAGGGCTGTCCTCAAGCTGGGGACACCGGCCTTGCGCTCAGCAGTCAGGTGGCCTCAGTGTGTCCCTCACCTGCCGTACAGTGCGACATACCCGGTGGAACTTTGAGATGGGCCTGTCAGGATAGACAAGCTTTATGGCTTTCCAGACCATAATTTTCCCATGATTCCATATGTCAATGTTATAGCAGTTGTTGACAATATAGAAGAAGGTCACTCATGGCCCCACTGCCCCAAGAGTCAATTGCATTTCCTGTCTCAGAGACTCTGGACTTCCTCAGCTCTCAAGGCCCTCGTTCCATTCCTATACATACTGATAATGTACATATATATATGCATTATGAGCGTAGATATTAGTCTTTTCAGTTTTTAAACATATTCTTTATGTGATAGTCATAATTCAGTATCTTTCGGTATAGTACTTTTCCTCTCAATTTTGTATTTCATGTTTTTTTCAAAAGCATGTAGCCTATATGAAGTAATGTATTTACTTATTTTTGAGACAGAGTTATGTATCCCAAGCTGACCTCCAACTCAAGTCTGCAGTTGAAAATGACCATAAACTTCTGATCCTTCTGCCCCTACTTTCCATGTGCTGGGATTCCACGTCTTTGCCCCCACACCCAGTTGTGCTGGGATTGGATTTAGGTCTCCATGCATGCCGGGCAAGTCCCCTACCTATAGGGATTCATGCATGCTGGGAAAACCCTCTACCTACAGGGCTTCATGCATGCTGGGAAAACCGTCTGCCTACAGGGCTTCATGCATGCTGGGCAAAGCCTCTACCAACTGTGCTGTTTCCTCAGTCTTAAATTTGTTCTTCAAAGAGATAAGTGATTTCCCATTGAATCCCACAATGTCGTGCAATTAATCACTATCCCATTTTCGGTCAAAGTCTCCCATTTCCTTCCGTCCATTTATCCTGCTACATAAGTCACACTTCCGCAGCTCTTACACAGTAAGCACCATGACTCCCTGCCGCCCTCCTTGGCCTGTGATGTTTAAATGATGGCCCCACAGGAAGGAAGGCGACTTCTCTGTCTGGAAGGCTGAATTAGCTCCTCAGAAAGTCAAGCTATCCTGATATTGGACGTAAGGGGCCGAGACAAGACCCCTTCGTTCAGCCCGAAACAGGTGCTGTTCCCAGCCATGTGAGTGAGGTGCCATCACGAAGAGAGGACAGGAAGCTGGTGATGGCGGGGCACTGGGGGCTGTCTGCTGCTGTAAGATGTGGGAAGGACCAGGGCGGGCCTGCACTGTGCCACTACAGTGACATTGCAGTGTGGTGTGGCCAGCTAGCTTCTCTCCAGGGCATTTTACATGAGCGCAGTGACTGAGACACAGAAGGGACCAGTGGGTTTGTCTGTCTCCGCCACACTAACGATGGTGCTGGCAGCGCAGTAAACCAGATGCTCTCCCCACCAAGGCCCTGCCAGTGCTTTGAAGTTTGTATCCTTGTCCATCTCTCAGGAGAGCTGGCACTCTGTCACCCTTCCTGTCTTCCTGTGTACTGCCTGGTGTTCCCAGACACTGCCCGCCCTCCTCAGAATTCCTAGAAAGCAGGCCAGTGCCTTCAAAGTTAGCCGTTGTCATTCATCCAATGGAAGTTTTGTTTTTCGGTTTTGTGTTTCGAGACAGTCACCAGGCTGGCTCCCAACTCACTATGCAGCTGAGCTTGACCTTGAGCCTCCCATCCTCCTACCTCCACCTACTGAGTGCTAAGATTATAGACTTGGGCCACCATGCCCCATTTATGTGACCCTGGGGATCAAACTCCAAGCTTCATGACTGCTCGCAAGCAAGCACTCTGCCAACTAACATGGGTCTGCAGCTCAGACGTGGGACGATTCTGTGAATTCCCGCTGTGCTCCAGTAAGCGAAGCTGCAGCTACTTTTCTTTATCACCGAATCAAACCTGGGCCTGAGGTCTGCTTGCCATTGTCAGTGTTTCCTATGTGGAAACAAGGTCTGCATAACCATCCTGTTTGTTTGTGTTTTTCTGGAGGTGGAGGGCTGACTCACAGTAGGCGAGTGCTCTGCCACCCATTACTGTAACTTCTGACACTAGACACAAACTCTCTGTGGCTGCAGTAGCGAGGGTATCCCCAGGCACAGGAGTATTCGACTTCCAGAGGCCCTCAAGGATGGACGGGTCCATTACAGACAGAGCCATCAGAAGGTCTCACCCTCTTGGTACCCGCTGTAGCAAGCTCTCACAGTTATTGACAAGGTCTAGAGTCATCTGAGCGGGAGTCTCGGTTGAGAGATTGCCACGATCAGATAGGCCTGAGGGTGTGTCTTTGCGGATTGTTAATTGATGAAGGAGAGCCCAGCCTACTGTGACCAGCACCCCTCCGTGGGCAGGTGGTTCTGAGGCAGACAAGAAAGCTAGCGAAGCTTGAGCCGGAGAGGGATCCGGCACCCATCACCCTCCATAGTCTCAGCTTCAAGTCCTTGCTTGAGCTCCTGCCCTGACTTCCCTTAGTGATGGAGGGTGAAGTATCACCAGGTAAACCCTTTGCTCCCGTAAGTTGCTTTCGGTCAGTGTTTTATCACATCAAGAGAGGAAAAACAGGACAGCAGCCAAGGAGTACAGCTCAGCCAGCGCCTTCCCAGCACATGGCCTGAGCTCCATGGGTGCAGCTGCTCTCCCCACACAAGATGCACCCAGGTGCAGAGACCCTCCTGAACTGAGCCTGCTGCCTTGCCACCGGCTGTTCTGCAGACTGTTTGCTGCCTTCTGGAATCACAGAGCAAGTTGAGCTTACTTGTTATAGGGCTGAGCGTCTCAGGGCAGCTCTAGAGATGCTAAGTGTCGAGACTCCTGGTGCTTGTAAAATAAACCCCAATCAAACGGGGTGTGGGGGCTCCAGGAGGCATATACATGATGTCAGTCTTCAATACAGACCTGGCAAGCTGAGTCATTTGGTAACATAGTAACTTTACATGGCTGGAGCGCCTGCTGTGAATATTTAAAAAAGGGAAAACATTTTTAAAATCTAGACAAATGTATCTCTGATCATAAGTTAGGTATTTTCTTTAGTGGGCATCTTCCTTTCTCATCATATTTTCTAAAAGAAGAAAGGAAGGAAGGAAGGAAGGAAGGAGGGAGGGAGGGAGGGAGGGACGGAGGAAGGGAGGAAGGAAAGAGAAAGAAAGAGAGAGGGAGAGAGAGAGAGAGAGAGAGAGAGAGAGAGAGAAATAAAGAACCAATCCTGGCTTTCTTTTGGCTGTTTCACCAGGTTTCCCACTTTAAGACTCGTGTGTGTGTGTGTGTGTGTGTGTGTGTGTGTGTGTGTGCCTGCATGTGCATGTGAGAGTGTGTGCGTGTAAACTGGACACTGAACCTACAACTGCACACATGCTGGGTGAGCACTCTTCCAGTGAGCTGTTCATCCAGCCCTGTTACTACCTGTTATTTTGAGATAAGGTCTGCTCTATAGTCCTGACTAGCCTTGAATTCATTTCTGTAGCCCAGGTTAGCCTTGAACTTGCCATCCTCCTGCCTCAGGCTCACTGGTAGCTGGTGTTCCCAGGCTGTGCTATTGGGCCCTGCTAAGAAGTTGTTTTTTAAGCCTCACATCCTTTCCCCCCATCTCGGTTTGCTCGCTCTGGAGTAGGTAACAGTGTTTTCTGGGGTTTCACCAGGAAACTGACTAAAGCCAAAGTCATGCGGGGTATTGGGGGGGGGCGAAGATAAATATTTTGACTCCCAACCTGAAACACGATTAATAAAAACTCAGAGACTAAAATTGGTGTTCAACCTGAAGACCCGAAAAGCAAAGCAGCCAGCCACTGGCTCTTACCTCTATCTCAGTCCAAAATGGTGATCCTGCCTCCAGGAATCTCAGAATGAGACTGAGACTGAGAGCTGTCTCCTCCCATCTTATATTCCTCTCTAGTTCTGGGATTAAGAGTGTGCACCACTACTGCCTGGTTTCTATGGCAACTAGTGTGGCTACTGGGATTAAAGGTGTGTGTTACTGTTACCTGGTCTATAAGTCTGGCCAGTGCACTGTTTTACTTTTCCGATCCTCACACGAGTTTTATTTATTATAATACAAGTGAAATGCCACTGCTCCCAGCTTTGTGTAGCATGTCACACTGCGGAGGTGTTTACGGCAGAGCAGACCCTCTTCAGAGGTGATGTTCTGAGACAGACTGTTTTAGTTTGGGGGATGGGGTGGGGTTGAGGCTGAGTCTTGGGCGTGGTCTCACCACATGGCCCGGGCAGTCTCCAACACCTGGGCTCCAAGGGACCTTCTGCTTCGCCTCCTGAGTAACTAGGATTCAGCAAACAGCTGGGGGGAATGCTGTTTATCATATTTTTTTCCAGTTGACTAGGAAATTTCAGTGCCCCATCACTGTCCCCTGAACTACTGAATATACTTAGTCCTGTGCTGACCAACAAAAGTCCACGAGAAGCCATGTTCAGCTGATGGACACCAGCTTCTACAGCTCAGCCATTCTGCTTCTTCAGAAAACCCCAGTTTTGAAATGCCAGCCCCAGCACACACAAACAGTACCATATGTGAACATGAAAAGTACATTAGATGTTTCTAATAACACAGAATAAATACTCCTTAATTTTAAATTAATTTTAAAAGTAAACATTGTGGGACCTGAGAGTGTGTAAGCCAAGGTAAAACAGGGGCTTAACATGTAAGAGGCCCTTGGGTCAATTCTCAGTTCCTATCCCAGGACACACAGCTATTTACACATACCTACACACATTTATATGTATGCATGCACACATATATTGCATATATATAAAGTAAATATTACAGAAAATCTTTGGGATTTAATCCTAATTTTCTCCTTCCTATCCCAGGGACAGTATTGGTCGAGGTGTGTACACAGAGGCTTTTAAAGGTAAATTTGCAGAACTAGACACATGACTTGTGATAGATGATTACCCAGTGTGCACGAGGCCCTGAGTTCAAACGCCTGCACCACTGAGAACACAAGAAGAAGCCCTGGCATTGCACACTCATGTGCAGAGCTGTGTGCACGCTTCCTTAAAGTACCTGCCAATTTTCCAGTGTTGTTTATTGAAAGCAGACTCTTTTTACAAACTTCCCTTTAACGAAATCTATTTTGTGGCTTGTTTTCTCTTGTCCTGGAGGCCGTCCTGTGGGAGCTTATTTACGTGTGCCCTTCTCTCACGGACCCATCGTCTCCCACCGAGACAGCCCCTCCCCAGGTACCTCTGAAATGTCAGCACCTCCCCCTGCCCTACTTGTTCACTTCCAAGACCATTTGCCCTTGCCCCTGTTCAGACCGGACATTTCCTTGGCCACCCCTTGCTCCTCTCTAGATGCTTAAGTTTCTCCTGGTTGCTCTGCCAGTGTCATGTGACCTTTCCCTGCCCTGCTTGCTTCTGCACCTGTCTCTTCCAGCACTTACATTTTGTGGTACACCCCACATTGTGTCCTTGTGTCCATCAGTGAGCCCCTGAGGAGGCACCCAGTCATTTGTCTAAGGAAATCACTGCATGATGGACGTATAGAGTGAAGGTAGAGCTGTGGTGGACCTCCCTATGGCTGCAACGGCTGTGCAGGGGGCATGGCTCATCAGAGCCCCCCACCCCCACCCCAGCATACCCCTTTAGTTAGGGAAACTCAAGCCAGCTTCTTCGTTTATGGAGCATTGCCTACCTGAAATGCAACTGTGGAACCGGCTTCCCACGGTGCAGCTGCCCCTGTTAAACATAAACCAAGCTCGACTGGGTTTGCTTTGCTAAAATTAATGCAAATATTCCACACCCCTTCAAAACCTGCCTTTGAGCTAAAAACCTGATATTTAATCGTTAACCAAAATTCAGAGGGACACACACACACCATACAAATCCTGGAAAAAACAGCCTTGTTAATGGTCCACACAAAACCCACCCACCAGAACTCACCTGCTCAGGTGTCAGGCAGCGAACAGGGATACTGAGATATTAGCATCTTGGAAAACCCACACAGTGGTAGCTGCTCTGCACCCAGTGATTTCCTTTGCTGCATTTATCCCATAAGTCAGCTGCTGAGATAGGGAAGCAATGATTCCAAATGCCTGCATCTCCCATTTCATGAGTCAGGTGACAGTAATTAAAAAGCAATTGTGTGTGTGTGTGTGTGTGTGAGAGAGGGAGAGAGAGAGAGAGAGAGAGAGAGAGAGAGAGAGAGAGAGAGAGAATTATGCCATGTGTCCAGGTACCCTCTGGGGCCAGAAGACATCCTCAGGTCCCCGGAACTGCGGTTGACAGCTGATTGATTATGACTCTTAACCATTGAGTCATTTCTACACACACACACACACACACACACACACACACTTTTTAAACTAGGAAATACAGTCTGAATTAAAGAAGCATAGTGTAGATGATTCTGTAGTGGTTCTTATCTCAGATGTGACCCAGGTGGCTGAGGAAGATTGTCATCTAAAGGGCACTGGCTCAGGGTCAAGGTTTGACCTTTCACCTGAGGGTAGAAGCTCAGCCAACTATGCCCAGATGCCCTATCACAGAGCACTTCCATGAGGGGAGGGTATTTTAGATACAGAAAATCTTCTGTATAAAGAGATACTTCCTTTCAAACATGATTAATATGTCTTGTCTATAGTTTTCTGTTCAAATTATCATGATTCTATTGAGGAAAAAACATTTCTTTGTAGCCACAACAATCATCTGGGTGAATGTAAATGAGTATATAAAAGGCTTGAGTTACTTAGCAAGGTACACTTTGGGGCAGGTCACACCGGGTGCTGTCTGTCATCGTGTGTGAAGGACAGAGGGTCATGCAGGGTTGCCGTTCACTCTGTCTGTGGTAGAGATGGAGAAGAGAAGGGAAGCCCTCTCTAGAACTCTCAGAAGCAGTTTCTAGAACCTTCTGGTCTGCTTTGATAACTTTCCACAGCTTCTAGAATGTTCTGCTACCTTGTACCCCATGCATTCTTTCACTGAAGTAAAGTTAATTTATCAACAGATAGTGTGGGACCTAGGGTGAATCACTTGTCTCCAGGTCAGAGGCAGATGCCCCTGTGTGAATGGAGCCCTTGAAAAACCCCAGCTCCCCTAGGCTGCCTGCCTGAGAATGAGACCTGGTCCAACTCCTAGCGCTATCCCCCTGTGAGAGCCTAGTTAGCAGAGACCTGTACTCCCATGTCTGGTGAAGCTCCAGAGCTGCCTTTTGTCTGAGAAGAGAAGTAATGGGAGGGAACTCTCCACAAAGAAGGTTTTCCCAGTTCCTGGCTCCCCTGCCACCATGCACAGAGGTTAAGAGCTTGGAATCACAGTGAGGGTCCAGCCCTGGTAGGCAGTAGAGCGTGGACCCCTCCTTCTGTTCCGTGGAGCCTGATGATCAGAACAGCACTGGCCCCACAGACTAGCAGTGACTGATGGGAAAGAAGGTTGTGCCCCTACACAGCCACCTGCCCGTGGTGAAGGGCTAGCTGGGTGTCAGCTGCAAGGGCTTGTCTTGATACTGTTACTATTGATCTCTTGTCTCTAACAATAAGTAAAGATATTGGATAACCCAAATTAGGCACCTTCAGGGCTCTAGTCAAAGGGGAACTAAAAAAACAGTCTCGAACACAGAAGGTATTAACCACTTTTAACAGTGAAGCTTCTTAGAGCTGGAGAGATGGCTCAACAGTTAGGACCACACACTGCTTTTTTAGAGGGACCTGGATTTGGCTCCCAGGTACCCACCCCGCAGGCTTACAACTGCCTGTCACCCCAGCTCCAAGGCCTCTGGTGGCCTCTTCCATCCTGCAGAGGCATTGCACCCATGCACCAACACCCCAACAAAGACACACAACTTTTTCAGATTACGTTAAAGAAAATTCTAAAGTAAAAAGTCAGGAATGCTAAAAGACCTAGACAGTTGAGTCCGTGTAGAAGAGAAAGTTGGACCTTTAAAGGCAAAACAAGACTAATGTTCATCTCCTCATTTCTGCACCAGAACAGTAGGAAGCGGAGCTTCCAGGTGACATAATCGTCACTACAGTGTCGAAGGACAATTATTCTTAAAAGCAGAGCTCAGATGTCTTAGGCAGCCTGAGCAATAGAAGGATAAACAATAAGAAAAAAAGAAACTAGGAAATTAAATATGAACATCATGGGTAATGCCTTACCTGGGACCATTCCCTTTTCCAGCCAAACGCAGGGCCCTGCTGCCTGTTTTCTCCCCCAGAGAGTTAAGAAATGACTGCAGGACAATTCATTTGTCGTTAGTGCAGGAACCACAATGATAGAATCACATATTATTCAAAATGGGGAATTCATGTCACATTATTTTCCACGGGTGAGTAATGGACGGGAAACGGGAAATGTCACTACAAGGTGGGCCGGCCATCTGGCAGGACCTTTTCTGTGACTATGGCAGCAGGTCAGAGCGTGGAAAGACCAAGGCAGCAGATCTCAAGATGTCTGGCTTCTCCAGGGAACTTGGGTCATGCATGGAAGGCAGGCAATAAAGTCCAATTATTCTGGATGTGGCTGCACGAGGCGTATGAGAATTATCTCACATGGAGCAGCAATGCAGCTAAGGATTTTTAAAATAGGCATCAGTCATTCTGGGTAACAGAACCAAACAAACCGGCCAGTCTCCACGGAGTGACTCATTAATCAGAGGACGGTGCTGAGATGTGAGCAATTTTTCATTGCTCCACGTGTAATATTTTAAATCTAGCGCGCTGACAGGATGGTTGGTGTCTGGGAAATTATCACACCCAAGAAAGACAGGCAAGCTTCACAGGGTTGGACCGCTCACTCGTGTGTTACCCATTTGTCAGATCCCCTGGTTCGCCCTGCTGAGGCAGGCCTTTCTGTCTGATATAAGACACGTGGTGCCTATAGTTGGAAACGACAGAGATGTAGACTTACTACCGAGTTAACTGAAACGTTGGGGGTTCTCAGTGTTCCTGGGGTCCTCCGAGTCTTGCCCATGGATACCCTCATCTCCAAGAGTCAGCACACCGGTCCATATGTTCACAGCTGCGGCAGGCCCATGACGATGCAGTTTCTTATAAACCCTGAGAGCAATCGCTTCAGGAGTGAGGTAGTTTCTGCTACTTAGCTTGGTAAAGCCTGCAGACAAGATTAATTACATTACAACAGAAGGACTTTTCCTTGTGTATGATTGAGCCAACCTCATGAGTATTAAGTGCTGAGGTTGCCTTTGGGGGCTTAAAGCTTATTAAAATAAGCATGCTTTTAAAAATCATAATAATTAAACCCTTCATCTGTTTTTATTTTTCTCTGCCTCAATGCAGACACAAACATCTCACAGTCCTGCTGGACTTAGAGAGTTAATAAATTCCACAGACTTTTCTGGGATATAGCTTTGCTACAACACTGCCCAGAGGTGCAGCAAAGTTGAAAGTGTCTCTGACACCGTCTGGGTTAGACGACACCTTTGAGTCCTTCTGGCAGTTCTGAGCAGGAGTAAAGAGCAGAGTGACCGTGGACACCTGAGTGAGGTCGGCTTCAAGATGGGGACAGACGAAAAGGGCAGGCCACGATGAACACACCATTTTCTTCTGTCCAGGTGGTGTCTCCCAGAAGCCCAGGGGCAATGCTTTGGGGACTCACAATGGGAAATATAGTGGGAGGGTGGGGCCAGAACATATCTTAAAGATTCTATGGCCCAAGCAAGTTGTAGCTCAGTTGATACCGTGATTACCTAACATGCAGCAGTGCACACCTGTAATCCCAGCCTGACCGCAGCGGTGCGCACCTGTAATCCCAGCCTGACCGCAGCGGTGCACACCTGTAATCCCAGCCTGGCCGCAGCGGTGCACACCTGTAACCCCAGCCTGGCCGCAGCGGTGCACACCTGTAACCCCAGCCTGGCCTCAGCGGTGCGCACCTGTAACCCCAGCATACTCAAGGTCGTCCTCAGCTACCTAGGAAGTTTGAGGTAAGCCTGGGTTACAGGAGACTCCATGTCACAACAAACAGCAAACAAAAATATGCTAGAGGGAATCCCCAGCAGATGTGAAGAGTTGGGGTCCCCAGCGATTCCTTGCTATTGTTCCTAATGGGCCCTCTATGTGGAGTTGCCAGCTCTGGAAGCCACCATTTGAAGCCTCTGCCAAGTTTCCAAAAAGTCCCATCTGACCCCTCTCACCTCCCCAAGCTGTACCCCACTTCGTCATCAGCTTCTCCGTCACAATCAGATTTCCTCGGTGTTTTCTAAACAGTCTTCCCAGCCTTCCCTTCCCTGACCCGGAAACCCTCTTCTGTCCTGACATCCTCCGTGATTCAGCAGGAATCTGTAATCCCAGCACTCGGGGAGCTGAGATAGGAGGATGGCAAGTTCCAGGCCCACCTGGGCTTCATAGTAAAGAGACTTTGTGGTGTTTTGTTTTGTTTTGACACAACCTATAATGTCAGAAGAGAGTCTCAATGGAGGGCTGTCCGCATCAGGTGGGCTGTCTGTGGAGGACTATCTTGTTTCCCCACGTGATGTGTGAAGACCGGCTTGACAGTGTAGTGGCGCAGAGGGCATCCCGTGTGCACGTCCCTTTGCTCCTGACTGAGATTGTGAGGAGACTGGCTGGGTGGAGGTCTTGTGACTTTCTTGCTGTCCGGAACCTAGCGTTCCAAACCTGAATAACTCTTTCTCCGCAAGCTCTTTCTGCCACGGTGTTTTATCACAGCAGCCAAAATGAAACTAGGTCATCCTGTCTCAAAAAAAAAAAAATCTACTTAAGGCTTGATCCTCATCTTCTCCACCTGCCCCAGACTCCCCCAGAACCTCAGTGACTGACATCCATCCTGACTGTTGGCATGGCTACACACCCCTGGCCTCAGGGCCTTTGTTTTAAATTTCTACCTCATCACAGGATGGGACTTCAAATGAGGAGCTGGTATTGACTGCTAACTGGCTGGTTAGTCTACTGTGCCCAGGTAGGCCAGACATGGTGTTTATCATCTGGGAGGTCGATGGCTGGCATATTTCACAGAGCACCTACTTCTGGGTGCCCTAAGGTCCATAGAACAACTAGCAACGTAGTCGAAGGTAGCCAGACCACAGTAGCCAAAGGCAATCAAGGTGACCCGCAGCTGGAAGTGAATGAAGGTACTGAGCTCCTAGCACGGATACATTGTAGCAACAGCATAGGTCAGGGTTTACTTCTGGTCCACAAGTCCCATCCCTCCGTGTGTCGTGGATGGGTACAGAGGATGCTGGTAGGGCCTCTCCTCACCATCCTGTGTCCTGCCTTCTCAAGTTCATGCCAGCCCTGTTATACGTCACTTTTGAATATCGATGGCAGTGTTCGCCCTAATGGGTGCAGGTCCAACAGTCCTAGACATATGACCCTGCCTATTGGGTGCAGCCACCCTACCCATTGCCCTAATGTCTGGAGTCTCTTGGACTCTTGTGCAGAAGGGGCCCTGTCTGTCTGGACTGAAGGCAAGAGCCTCGCCTACACCAAAGCTGACTCTCCATTTCTCTCTGGCAGGTCAGGATTAGGAGCAAGCCCTGCCAGTGGCTTGTATTGCTGAAGGGCCGGGAGCTGGAAGAGAGTTTTTACACTGGGAGAGGGCAATTGGGTTCTGCTCAGTGCTGAGGTGGCCTGTACCCCAGGACAGCATGTGGGAGCGGAATCCTGGACAGAGCAGGCAAGAGACTGAGGTGGAAGAACTCAGTGGTGACCTCACTGCGCTGAGGTCAGACCCACTGATCGCTAGGGCCAAGCAGGCAGCCAAGGGAAGGATGTCCTCTCCGCTTGTCATTTTGGGTGGCGGTTACCTGGGAAGCTTCCTAGAGTACTTTTATAACAACGTTTACACTCACAAATACAACCTTGTTTACAAAGGCTTGA